GCCTCTTCAGAGACTCTTAAATATATTTCTTCCTCATCAAAATGACTATTGATTTGGACATACCATAGCATATCTCTGGCAAACTTAACCTTAATTTATCTCGAAATTCAAAAATAAGAGACACCTAAAGTGTTAAGGCGATACAACTATTCACGCAAGATGGATGTTTACGTTGCATATGAAAAATGTAAGACGCGATGGCATGAGTTGTGAACTCGCAATGCTCTACTCTAGTCTAATAGTTTGAAGCACCATTACGAATAAGACAAACGCAAACAAATACAAAATGAAAATAAAGGGAGGGAAAAGATGCGCGTTTACGACGGCGCAGAGATACAACTATTCGTACTTGATGGACGTCCGTACTGCATCTGAAAAATTGAAGGCGCGATGACGCGAAGCGTGAGCTCTCAATGCTCTGCTATATGCTGTCAATCAGGCGTCGCTCAGATTCAGGTGAAAAGTTATGAAAGAGGCGCGAATACGTCTTCCTTGTCTTCGACCGTGTTGATACTCGTCCTTTCTCCTGTTTTCAGGTTCTTGTCTGATTCTTTTTAGGATGGATTTTCAGACCCACGTCTTAGGCTCGTGTAAGCCGCAGCACTGGCTCGGTTCTTTTGGAAATAATGATACTTGGATACGTCCTAGTGGCTTTAATTTTTTATGTTTTCTTTAATTTCAGAAGTCTGTCGGTTACTTCAATACGTTCAATTTTGCAATTTTTACTCCGTACGATCAATAAATTTTGAACCTGAAAATAGCGTAAACTTTGTGCTGCTTTGCCAAAATTTTCCGAACCCCTCTTCACGTAGGGAATGCCCTACCAGGAAATATCACATTAAGCCCCTTTAACCAGCCAAGGGTCTACGCCCTCAGATGCGAGCCAGTTCGACCCTGAATAATTGGTTATACGACATTTCGTCAGCGAATTTTTGTCTGCGCACCTGTTTTTTCCAGTAATTTACGTCCACGCGTTTTTCCGGCACGGGAGTTTTGGTCCACGTGCCAGTTGAGACCCGAAGTTAATTGGCCCACATGTAAATACAAACGACAATTGCTACGTTTTTGGACGAAAATATATAATGTCTTGGAAGAATGAGGGTTTACTTGTTTTTTTGTTTTGTCTGTTTGGTCCAACGGAGAATAATGTAAAGAATAATATATAGTTGAGAGTTGTGGTAAAAATGGGGGAGCGTCAATTCCATGAGACAACATTCACTAAAACTCTCTACACCTCTTTGGTGTAACAGGACTTAATTATCTTTCAAGAAATTCCCACCTTGTTATACCAGAACCGGATAAACCTCTATACTTGCCTCAGCTAAAGGTTCTTAGATTTTTTCTGTGTGCGATACTTGTATCTTTATTTATTGGAGGAAAGATCTGTACTTTTAGAGGATGCCTATCATTCTTAATACGTTCAATTTCGTTTAAAACTATGCAACACCTCTACTGTGAAATAGTTGCTTCAGGCGCCGCCGCACTGCGGGCAGACGGCCAGCGCAAAACGCCCATTGGCGCCTACAAACCTAAGTGGATACTTCAAGCATTGTGCAATGCGTGGAGTATCCACTTAGGTTTGTAGGCGCCAGTGAGCCCCTGGCGCTGGCAGCAAGCCGCGCCGCGCCGCTCCCCTCTGTTAGGCTTTAATATTTATACTCGCATAGTCAGCGGTTTTTAACTCATGATGTTGAAATGTTAGCACACTCTGCATTGATTATTCTCATTTAAATTGATGGGAAAAAAATATGTATCAATTTATCAAAGGAGAATAAGAATATAAGAATATATAAATTTGACGAATTTGACTCTAAAAGATCGATGTACAAATGGGTTAAAACTAAAGATTGCGTGCTTCTTGGTTTTTTCCCCTCTTTTATTCATTTTTGCAGTTTCTGTCGGCACAACTTCGGCTCATCGAGATTGATGTCGCTTGGAAAAGGTTTTACAAATATGTGTCACGTTTTAATAATAAATGTTCAAAAATATAAATGTTTTCAAAATGAAGTAATAATTTCGTAAAGAAAAAAAAAAGGGCCTATGCATATACCTATAAGGTGTATGGTACATTCAATATTTTAAGGATAGAAATAAAACCAAATATTCACCAATGGCAATTTAAAAATATGATTCAAAAGAAGAAAGTAATAAAATTTCATTTAGAAAATGTGCAACCATAACAACACCTCCTTCTCTCTCAATTTCTCATTTCCATATTGTCAATATAATTTTACATATCGACTAAAATATAACGCTTAGACCAAGTCACTGTTGCTTATTGTACGTATGGGCGTAAACTAATTGACAAAAAGGTGCGCGGACGAAAAATCGTTGATGAAATGTCCTGAAACCGAATAATTCATCCATTGCCTCAAAGATATCGAAACCTAAAGAGGGAAATAAAGAGTGTCTTGGATCTTTCAATGTATATAAAACCTGCGGTTTCCTCCCATTTTGTTTTATCCACCTTCACACTGAGATTATCATATTTTTGAAGCCTCAAAAGAATAATGTGTTAATAAGTATGGAGTTTATCATTTTGCATAAATGTTTTTCCACTGTCGTTGCTAGACCTTAGAAAAAACGACAATTTTCTTACAAATTCGGCGGTCGTAGTCTTGGCTGAGGAGATGTTTGGGAAAGAGACTCTTCACCGAAAAAGAAGTCTAATTTTGACCAATAGCACACGCTTCTTACAGTCTGACGATTTGACTCCATGCCCCACTATGGATGCATGGGTAAAAGATTTCCGCGAAAATTACACATGGTATTTTTATGGCTTGCGAGGTACCCAGATTTCCACTCAGTAAAATATAAAACAAGCAGTTCCAACGCCAAAGCGTTGGAGGGCGCTTCTTTAACACTGCGCATGCGAGGAACGTTTTCATACGGCCAAGCGAGAGTATTGCGGACGGACGATGTATAACAAATTGCCTACGTGAAGGTGGTCCGGCAGCAACATACCCGCCGCTAGTCTCTGGAAAACAATAGAAAATAGTAGTTGCGTACGTTGCCAGCGAGCGCGCTGCGAGCGCATCTGTTTCAATTACCTAGCATCGAGTCGGGCCTCTAACTTTCTATTCTCTCTGACATAACCTTAAACCTTCAACCCAGAGCCGCAAACAGCTGACGCTTGACGATGCTGCGCCGAGAAAATGAACCAATCACAAAATAGCACAGTAATACGTCACTAAAATGAAGAGATCACGTGACTGTTCGTGATTTTTTCGAATCAATCTGAAACTACAACCTCGAATATGAGGCATTTAAGCATAACGAAGCCCCAAAATAGTTTAACCAGGTAATACATCCGTGCGAGATTGTTATGCTTAAAAGCAAAACATTTCACGAAAACTTTTACGAATACCAGATGCAGAAGAAAATCAAATTTTCCCGGGTGTACCAGAATGGCGTCATTACCCATAAGGCAAAACGGTATGTAGTATAGTACATGTTACATCGGGGGAGTCGAACGGCTGGAAAGGGCGCATCTGGTACCCAGAAGCGCCCAAAAGTGAAATAATTGCCAGTCTTAAATAGGGGTCCAAGAGTCCTTCACTTTCGCACACACATTGATAGCGAATCGTTTCTGCTGACCTTAGTCCTCGTTTTACCATCATTTAATTGAGATCTCTGCCAAACTGAACTATGTGCATTATGACATGAGCCCTGTTATGCATATATTTTTATGGGTCTCAAAGCTAATGTCTCAATGGACATAGTTCCGTTTAAATACGTCCAATTGTCACTCGGCACCGATCTCACCGTTAGATCTACTCCAAAATCAAGTTTTCCTAGCCTCTCAGCCAGCCTTTGACGCGTTTTAATTAAAATTAAGTAAAGGGGGTTATGATGGAAATAAAATTAAGCTACAAGATGTTGACTATAAGAGGACATTAAACAGATTCAACTGAATTTTATAGTAAGTAGATCCTTGTTTGAATTACAGTGACAGCAAATTGTGCGATGGCATAAAAAACGCGCGGAAATTATATTAGACCAAAATGAGATTCAGAAAAACTGCAAAATCTAAGCAGGAATATTTAACGGTTTGGAAAGAAGATTCGATTATCCACATGCTGTAATTTGACGTATTAATAAAATTAGAATCATACCGAAGCTTTTCATGACCACAATCGTTCATCACCAGGGTTGCTTGTACTACGACATACCAAAAAACTTACAGGATTAAGTTATCTTCTACAAAATGTTTTACAAAATTACAGCATATATAGATTATCGATTCATCTTTATATACTAATATTTGCCGTCAACCATACCATCTGACCGATTGTCTGAATATATATTTGTCAGATCTGACAAAATGTCGGATTTGACTAATTTCCTGCGACACTAACACGGCGTAGGACGAGTAGATGGATGAAGATTAACTCAATTATTCAACAAAGAAAACGTGGTAAGAATATTTGAATTCATCGGCGGAGGGAAATCTTCTAGCGCTGGCTTGATTATAGGTTCTATCACGAGACATTCGAGTAGTCTCCATTATCGATGCTCGTCCGCCGTAAGGACGTACCTTCATTTTTGCGTGAGCTCAGAAATACATGGATTTATATGGATTGAAGGGCTCGCGTGCAAATTGAGATACATCCTTGCGCCTTGGGAGCAACGCTATGAGAATCTTCAAAGGATCCATGCTGTCCATTACCTTGAATGCTCTTGTGAGCTATGAATTTTAATGTGTGAAAAACCACGACCTCGGATGTGGTGGTGATACCAAATTGCATGAAGAATAGTCAGCACGTTGCAAATCAGTGGCGTGACGTGCTTTGCGATTTATCGAAAGATCTGTCATTTAAATCAATGGAAAAGAATCGATAAACATTAAATAGGGTGTTCGCAGCGAAAACCTTGATAACCGTTTCTTTGCCATAGCTTCAAATGGGAAATAGCTATAATCGATCATTCAAGCCTCGCCACTGTGCAAATAGTTGCATTTTGTGATGTTGCGACATGAATATTAAATCTGAAGTCGGAGGTAAGCGATGGTATAAAATCATGTATTACAAATGTATAAAAAGTACAAACGTATAAAAATGTACACATTCTCAACAACTGGAACAAGAAAATTACATAATATAATTGGTTGACACGATTTAAAGTAAAATATTGAGAGCCTATTACGAGGAAAAGCACCTTATACTAATACTGCCGTCCTATTGAAAAACGCCGCGCGAGGATTCAAAATTTTCCAAATTTCGTTTGATAAAACAAGAATTTTGCAGAAAACTTGTGAGTATCATTGGAAAATACAAACAAGCTCCCCAGAAAAATCGTACTTTATTAAACGGAATTTGATCAAGTTTGAACGCTCATATTGCCTTCCATGTCAGCACGGCAGGACACCGGGGTGCCTTCAATTCTTTGAATATGCAACAATAACAACCGTTAAACAGAAGTAATCGTATCCATGCTAGGCGTTGTCGATAAACGGCGAGGCTGAAGTGGCTTCTCGGCTTAACACCGGCGTGAACAATTTTCCTCACAAAATTCAAGGGCGGTGCCATCATGACGAGTAGATTTGGCCGCTTGATAGAAATTTATCACATCTAAAATTTTGAATCAACATATTTTTATAACGATATCATATCGCAATCAAACGGAGCGCATAATTACAAAAAGTGTAAAAAAAAAATACATAGATTCCTGAATCTTCCTAAAAAATTCGTTACTTCCTGAAGTAACGAAGATCCGGAAGAGAATGCTTCCTGACAAATAATCAAACGAAGAGATGATGACAAGATGACAAAGAAAGAAACACATTCTCCTGGGGTGATCGATCTATGCATCTTCCGTTATTTTTTGAAATATCTCATGACGAGGAATCTTGGGCAGTTTCTGCATTCCCGGGCTGTCCTTCCGGTAAATAGCCGAATGAGCTCCATTCTGGAAAAAAATATAATTAAAATTAATGTAAAATAGGAACGATAGAGTATAGAGCAATAATCAAAGAATTTGAGTGTTTTTCTCAGGATCAAAATTTTCATCTAAGAGTGAGTCTGTTGTACCATGAGTAGACTTTTTACAAGTAAAAAGTCCCAGAGCCTACCTGTAAAAAGTCATAAAAATGCATAACAGTCGTTAAATACGAGAGCATTTTCCAGAAAATACCTATGTATTTTTCCGTCGATATAGCTTACGACACTTTTTACGCGTCTCCATCGATGTTAGCGATATAAACTAAGCTGTGCCTAACAGATTGCTTTATTAGCCACGGCATTCTAAATAAATTGAACACGTCAATGTTTGATAGATTCGGCCACAGCAATAGAACACAATGTTATGTCCAAATTCTGTATAGAATTTTGTCATTAATTATTAATGAAGCAATTAATGATTCACTAGCACACGAGAAAAATCAATTGCAAGAAACACTCTTTGACACATACAACCGCCGATGATGTTATCCAGAAATGTGATTTTGCGTAGAGATGATAGTTAATTAGAAAATATTAAGCTTCAAACCTTTTATGTCCTCTTCAATTTCATTCAGAACCGGGAACCAATCGGCGCTAGAGTAGTCTATTTTTGGCCTTGAGCCACCATAGTCCTCGGGCAAATAGTTAGGCTCTATAAATTTGTGAAGACTACTCATTTTTGAACCATGGAAGAAAAGCTGAAAAAGATGACATTCAACCTATAAATATAATGATCGTTGAATTCTGAAATAAGCGCATACGTAGAATTACGTAGGGAACATAACATGTTGCGCACATTTTTGGGAAGAGAACATTTTTGGGCAACACTTAGTCTAATAATTAGATAATATTCCACTAAATTTTAAAGTATTAAAAAAGGGTGTATTTTTATGTGTATGAATTTTTAAATGATTTTGGTTATTTTAACCATTGAGCTAAAATATCTGAACTACTTTATGCCCTCGTTTTATTATACAGTTGATGAGATATGCAGAGTTTATTATAATGCACAGCCAAGAAAAAATTGACTGTATAATCATCACCATCCAGTAAATCGGAGCAACACACAGGTACGTATATGAACTGAATTGTACTTGAAAGGTCATTACGTATCAAAATTAAATACCTACAAACTAATGGACGGATCAGTATTGAAAAAAAATTCAAGAAAAGGTGGGTTGAGACTTTAAGAAACAAATTTCGGTTTTGAAGTTGATTGCGGATGAGGAAAAATCTAACTCTTGACTTAGACTATATTCCTCCATTCCTTACTTCTCCGTAAAACCAAAAATTCAAACTGAACGGTAGTCAACAGAATGAAATATTTTATGAAACTCACCCTGTTCCTTAATTTCTCTCTGATGAATGGTTTAAAAACATTCCACACAATTTGAAATATGAACGGTTGCTTAACTATGTGAACTTGCTTTAGCCTCAGAGGCATAGCATCCTGAAACAAAAAAAAAGTATGAGTTAAAAAGACCGTGAATTCGTAGAACAGGATTTTTTAAGTGAATAGTGTCTAGGAAATTTATTAATCGCAGATATGAATGAGTAAATTGTGTCAAAAGTCCTCCTTCAGCTTACATTTTCTAAAACATCCGCAACACAAAGCTCTTTTGCCTTTCTTTGAAGTTCATGATAAAGCAGAAAGTTTACATTTTAAAGAAAAAGGTCCTTAGTTCTCGGGGGTAAAATATTCAGGAGATTGCTTATCTCCAAAGCGGGTAATAAGTGTATACGATAAAACCTGCGCGGTGACATATTGTTTCAAAATTATGACTGCGTTAAACTCCTTCAAATTTTTGCGATTCTTGTGTAGGTGCCGTTGATTCCAGATGCTGGAAAACTATCCGCACTAGAAGCTGCAATATAGTTTCCTCAATTTCCTTTTTACCAATTTGCTAGCCTCACCAAATTTGCTTAATACGTCGTTTCCCTGACGAAAAAACGTGATTAAATTCCAATGTTGCCAAACTTTTTTGCGCACATTGCATATTTACAAGGAGAATCTTGGGAATGTCTAACTGAAAATTTCACTATTTTTCTTCTAATCTCTTGCGAAAATTAAAAATATTTTCAACCAAACAGTGCGCAGGTAAATCCTTGTAAAAAACTGAATGAATCGTGTCAACTTTGCAACTTCGCAATGCAGTTACGTTCCTTCGTTCGGGAAACGATTATTAGAGGGTACCTGATTTTACCTGAATGAAAGTAAGGAGCCGTGCTACAAACGTGAGGTTCATGCAGTGCGTGGCCTGAGTCATGCTCATCCCGTGGAAATCCATGATGATAATAGCTCCCTTGACCTGTGTCTCTGGCTCCTGGATGGCTGCCAAGTGGATCAAGTACAACATCCTGAAGAGTTGGTCCGTTTTCACCGTCCGCGGGTTCCAGTCAGCTGAATCACAGAAAAGAAATTCAGACGTCATTTTGAAAGTTTCAATTCTTAAGTTTTAATTAATCAATTCTAAATAGTTGTAAAACGGCCGTTGAAGAAAAGCTTTGCCACCCATTTCTCCTTCCCACGCGGCCTTCCTAAGCAGAGCAAAAAAATACAAGATGCAACCGCGCACCTTGTATAGCTGCGAGGGAACGGAAAGATGAAACGCCTTCAATTTAGATTGTATGCAATTTGACCGTCCCTCGAGCTCGAATAGTTGCATGTAGACATTTACCTTCAATCAATGGGTTGGATCTGAAGGGGATTAGATATCGTGTCCATAATGGTCGTTCCTTAATGCGATCTTCTTTTGTAGGCATGAGTTATTGTGCACTACAGAGATCTTTGAGGGTGATTTGAACGAAGCTGCAGGTAAAGGGCAATTCTTACAAAATTCCAATTGAATTCAACAGCAAAGCTTTGGAAACAGATCATTGCAAGGAACTACGATAATTTACCGTGACAAAAAATATAAGGTATAACATGCAAAATTCTATGATTTTTGCAAAATTTAAAATAAGTACGGATCTTTTTTGAAATTTGCAAAACCCATAAAATACTGCTAAGTATATGCCAAAACACTGAAAAATTCTAACTTTCAAGTGAGCTAAACTTTTCGGCCCTATCATCGACCGAATAAAATGGAAAGATTTCGGCATATTTTTTATTAAAGCAACACACCAAATGAATATTTGAATGAAATAAATACCTCCACATTGAATGACCATGATTCTCCGACCATGCTGGTCTCTGTCTCTGAGAACATTTACAACACGGTTATTCAGAAATCCGTCTTCTTCATCCTTTGGTATGAGTCCGTGCAAAACACTCGCATTTTTTATTCGAAACTCAACTATTCGGCGCATCTAAAAATCAAAAGAAAACAATGTATTTTGCGTTGCACATGTTAACAGTATTTTTTCAATCAAAGTTTTACTTGCACATATGGATCAGAAATTATACTACTTTTACAGTAGACTACTTGGTGCGTAGGTCCTTCGAGTTCGAACTCATTAGTCACGTGACCTCTGCCATAAAAAAGAAAAAAATCTATTACTTTTTGGGGAGGCTTAATTGCTTTAATTGTAATTAAGACTATTGTAATTAAATGAGCTGGAGATCACGTCATTTTATTACTAAATTTTTTGCTCTCCTTTAGAATTTTGATTTTTTCGTCAGACAGAGTGGCAAGATGCATGCCTCCCCTACTTTAGAGAAAGAATTAGTCATTTTCGGCACAAGGATGCCTTCATCGACAAGACATGTAAGCCACAGAGCAATGTGAAGACTTGGTATCGAGGTATTCCAAAATTAATGATATGGGTATTCAAAATTCAAAATATGATTAGAAGCGTAACAATACTCACAAGATCTAGAGCGCTGTGGGAGTAATATTTTGTGGGTCGCAAAAAAGTCAGCAAGAAATCATCATCCTCTCGAAACACAAGTCGATGCTCTGAAAAAATATATTAAACGTTAAGTTAGTGACTTATTTAAATAAATAAGTCGGCAAGATGAATACAGAAGTCGTATACGTGTGAATTATAGAAAATCAATACCAACTATTATGATCCTATAATCGGAATTAGTTCCAACATATAAAGATTGAATTGTTCATTCTAAAGTTAGCAAAAGAAGCAAAATTTCAATGAAATAATATTAATTTACTATCTGCCTAGGCATTTTAGAAAATGTCTTTTTTAATTATATGCCTGCGCCATTTCTAAACTTTCCTTCCTTTCTAATGTTTCCCTCTTAGACTTTTTATGATGATATGTTTATCAAGAGTGAATCATTTCTTAATCATTAGGAACTGGAAGTTGTTGACTTGAGGATCGATTCTTTGTTGATGAAATTCAGCGGGAAAAGATAAAATCCACGATAAAATCTTCTATTGACTTTAAAAAAGAGGGTGCCACGGCGGCGGCACGGCGCGCAATCATCAAAGGAAAGGTGGCTCTACTTTGAGAACAGAGCGGTTTAAGACACCATAGAAAGCAAACACGACCTTTGGTGTTTACACTCAGAGTTGCTGTTTTGTGAAAAATTCATTTTAAAATTCGAGAGACAGCTCAGCGCAAGATTCATTTGAGTTGAACCTAGAACTGTCAACGTTGCTGGTATGGGAACCGCCGCTGAAATTAGCTCAATTTACTCTTGATTCAAGTTCCAGCAAAAATAAATCCAAAGCCTTATCAATACAAAACGTGCATTTCTTTGCCCTAAAAAATTACATCATACTCAAACACGATTATCAAGCGAGTTGACTTAACCTTTTCGAATCTAGAGAAGCAAATGTACACATTATCGAAAAATTTAACATAATCGTATGTAAAAAAAATTGGCGCTTCCAGCATGTTGCTTCACTTTTTGACGTCTTTGTAACTTTTCCGAGTAGACGTAAATAGGTCAGCGGCACAACACATGTCACAGAATTCATTTCTAATGTTCAAAATTTGCATGTGCTGGTGCCAGGCAAAGTTAAACCTCAGGTGACAACTCAAAATGTTCTGTGCAACCGAAAAACGTTATTTTTTTATGCTGAGGACTTGCTAATGGTCTCAAGAGCACTATCAATTAGTCAAAATTTCCAGTCAAGCTTCGTTTCATAAAGAAATTAATATGAGTGTGTAAAAATAAACCTTGTCAGAAACAACCAATATCACCAGCCCCATATTGATGCAACATATGACCCCACAATATTGCTTTCTGGTACATAAAAAATGTTGCCTCGACGTTGCTGCAACATACCCTGTCATTGTTGCCGCAACTTAGGGGATATTGGAGCAGCATTGAGGCGATATCCTTTTGCAGAGGGGGACGACAGTTTTCTGAGCCAAAATTCGGTTTCAAAGACCAAAAACTTCCGTTACCAGAAAAAGCACTTCGAGGTGACTTACTTCAATCCTTCCCTGCTGTTACCACTCTGAAGTTGGTGCCATGATGTTACCAACATCCCAGGTATCACATTGCAATTAAAATATTGAAATAAAGTTGCGATTTATTGCATTAAAATTGAAATTTTTTTACCATAAAATTGTAATATGTCTACATCAGTTGGTCAATAAATGCCGATCTTAAAAAAAACAACAACGTGAGTTCCATGTGTTTAGATGACAGGAAATATGCGGTGCAATGAAAAATCGCAACTTATTTCAATTGCATTGCAATACATTTCAATAAGCCGTGTGCCTTCAATCAGTGGATAGGCAACATATACAACACGCCGATGCAGTAACAATAACTTTACAATGCAATTTAAATTCGTTGCACTTGGTGCTGCCAAGAATACAACAAACGAACATGTTGGTGAATGAAATATGGTGCCATGTTGCCGCCTAACTGGTGTCAACATGGTACAAACTTAGTATCATCGCCGTTCCATGTTGGAACCATGTCGGTCACTTATAATCAATCTGGCCACGTCAATACCATGTGGCGTCAACATGGTACCATTCTGCCGTGCTAAGGAAGAACAACGTATGAGCAATCAGGCGTTGCCAAATTTTCCCTGGCAAATCACGAATTCTCAGAAAAATTTGTAAATATTTTTCCCTCAATTTTTTTGATAATTTTGTTCGCAATTTATCCTAAGGTTCCTGAGAATTTGAAGGAAACATAATCATAATTTTCCTTAAAAATAAACATTTTATCGAGGGAAATTTGGCAACTCTCGAATGCTCATAGGGCGTTCTTCCTTAGCACGGCAGTATTTTTCATCAATAACACGGTCGTTTTTAGCAGGGCTTTGACAGAATATTTTTCCATGTACCGCTAATGTGCTGCAGGTTACACGCTCAAATTCCCATCAATTTCCGATCAAATGGTGACTGATGCGCACCATCTACCATCAAATTTCTGCGGCCTTTTGATCGTAGATGATGGAACTGTGGGGCTCATCCTTCATCTGATTTCCACACAACCGTGCTTATTTCATGCTTATTTCAATCAACATGATATTTTAATTCATTTTACTCATCAATATAGATAACTCTCGACCGCCATCTTGGTCATCATTTTGATCGGAATTTGACGGAAATTTGAGCGTGTAACCAGGCCATAAAAGAGAAATGAATTTTACCTTTCATCAAAGCGCGGAGCTGCTCGCACGATTCGCGTATCCTTTCAGGTGTCTCCCTCAACTCGCGTTCGGCCACCAGCGCGGATTCCGGTCCAATCGGGTCGTCCTCCAACTTGATGCCTGCTTTGCCCTGGGAAACAGCCAAATAATTCCTTTGTAGAATGCCCATCTCGCCTATCACCGACTAATAACTCAATAGCTTCTTCCAACTTTCGGAGGAAATTCAAAGCTGACCACTCTGAAAATTCTGTTCGCCCCTCTGTTTCACAAAACTTGGCACCGTTACATATCTCAAAAAATCGCAATTTAATATATTTGTACTATCTCGGATCGCACACTGTTGGGTAAATGATGCCGCCAGAGGATAGCTATTACCAGGTGGTTGTGTGCGACAGGCAAAATACACGCACTTCAAAACTTGAGTTCCGCAACTTTGACCTAAATTTAAAAAGTAAAACAAATATACTGAAAATTTTAACTGCGAGGAATTTCACGAAGCTGGAGCATCGGAAATATCACCCATGCACCGATTCTTAAATCACTGACGAAACTAACCAGACATGAGGCACTCCTCGGTGATTTCTAAGGAGGACTCCAGGTAGTCGTATTCGATAAGATATCAAAAAGAATAAGAAAAATTGATTAAAAATACGGTGAAAACTGACCCGCTCGTAGATTACGAGTCTCGGGTCGGTGCCGATGTGTGTGTTTTTCGATTCGCGAAACATAAACAATGACGGGTGTGGTGCTGCCTCCAAAGTTTGCCCATTGCACTACTCTACATTCAGCCGGAAGCGAGGCTTACGTGCTCCATGCTCGTCACCGGAAAATCGAATCAGGCAGTGATATCAGATTCAAGCGCTGATTCATTGACTGGCATGCACATTGCACATTGTGAAAAGAGCGTGTTTGCCATGAAATCATCGTGGTGCACACGCTTTTCTTCCACCAAACGTCTTGATAAAGGCTTTAAAAGTGTATTTTCTGAGCTTGAATGAATGTCGATTAGGATCGAAGCTTCCTCGCTGATTTTCTGTGAACTCGTGCTCAAGTGATAAAATGATGGTATGGGACTTCGGTCAAATGGACTGCATTTTGCAATTAGGAACTAAAATTTTTGACCCATGTTGGAAATAGTATCTGTGCCATAAGTTTCTCTGCGCAGTTAAGTGATCTCATCAGATTGTAGTTTCTACTTGCAAAATGCAGGCCAAATTTGCTCTACATCGGAAAAATTTAACCGGAGTCAGCCTAACCTCGTGGAACGTTGCCTAATTTTCTTTCATATTTTGCCTTTTAACAATCAAGTATTCTACTTTAAAGCTCTCCCTTTTTCAAGCAATTTCCTCAACATTCACCTATCACGTGACATGATGTGGGACCCAAATCTATGACAGGAACTAAACGAATTGGAAAAGCATTGTGAGCAAAGGACAGAATGAGTTCCGCGGTCCACAGAACCTGCCAATTCAACCCGCGTTCCTTCTATGGTGCTTAGTTCCATTTGGCAGAGATGCGTCCAATTCGCCTCCATGCGACTGAATTTAGGGCAGATACATATTTTAAATTCATAAGTTCTTTATAACGGCTGAATCCCAGGAAACACTATATGCAAAGAAAATATTGTAATAATTCTACAGTTCAATGAGGTAAAATGGTATTTTTTTGCAATGAATTTAGAATACTTTTAAATCATTTGGTGAATAGGTGCCAATTTTAAAGATCAAAACACAGAGTCCCATCTGTGAGCGAGCTAGCAATTAGCAATGCGAGAAAAAAGAAAGAAATCAAATTATTTCAATTTTGTAGCTAGGAATTTCAATAAAAGGAGTCCCTTCAATTAACAATCAGGCAACATACGCAACACTTCGATACAGTTTCAATATTTTTACCATGCGATAGCACTTTATTGAAACCTGTGCTACATGTGATGAAGATGGTTTCGTTTTTTGTGGTGACGTCTATTGGTGGCCGTTCGCGGGAAAAGGAGCTTCAATGCACGGAGGCAGAATTTTCAGTGGAACAATTTATGACGCATGGGGTAAAAAAAATCGGATCTTGCAAGGTCGGCAGAAAACTCTCTGTATGGTCTTAGAGGATGAGTTTCAAGCTCTTCGATTGATCAGAATATATTTTGCAATGAAGAATTACTATTTCCTTCACATTTTAGAAATAGTTTTAGTTTCGCTATGCAAATAGGTAATTGTGTGAGTGAACCAGAAAAAGTAATTCCTCATTGCAGAATATACTTAGTCCAATTTGTATGCCAATGAGATTCGGTTGCATTGTAATCAGACGCTAAACACGACGAGCTAAATTTTTAAGTACTTAGTTTACTTTTCAAAACGAAGTTTTTAATTTGCAACTTTCAAACAGCTTTAATCCCGCTTTAGTTTGACATACATGCATAGTACGTATAGGACGTTTTAAGCCGCAAAATATCTGGATTACGCCTCCATATCCTAATCATTGACGGATGAAATTGAGTTTTAGTGGACCAAAATCCCTTTCGTCCAGAATTATTCGATGGCCAAAGTGTGGAACAACGAGTCTCCGTTTGGGACGTTGCCGACTCCCTGTCATACTTTTTTGTTCCTTAGGAAAACTAATCAACGTAATTTTTTAAAAACTCCCTTGATTTTTCCGCTTCGTTAGCAGAACAGAATATTCTGTGAAAATTTCAAGCTGTGAAGTTGGCTTGCTTCTCCTCAAAAAACATTCCTCCTCAAAGCGGACATTTTGGAATACCGCCATGGAAATACGCGGTTTTGCACTTTAGCCATAGAATCGCATTCAATTGTAATACTTTATAGGTCCCCAGTTAAAGTGAGTCAGACAGTATGTTGGGGGTTTGCGTACGTGCTTTAAAAATTCAGCATAAAGCTGAAAATCTCAATACAAAGTGAAAAAGCTCATATGAGTTCAGTTTTCTCTCAAAGAGATATGCTGTTTGGTGCAACACTAGACACGTCCATTCAGGAAGGCAACTGCAGACTGAATTTTTAACGCACGTTGGCGAAAAACTCCAACAAACTGTCTTACGACCCGTGCGTCCACCGCAATCAGTTTGTGTTAAAGTGAATCAGCCTGACGTCAGGCTAATTCACTTTTACAAGCACTGGAAAACAAAAAAACACATTGGATCTAGAGTCCAGATTCTTAAAAACATGGACAAGAAAAAGTACTCTTGATTCAATCAGAATCTAGCTTAAATCAAGAACCAAGCCTTTTAATTTAAGCGGATTTCGTTTTGATTCAAGCAAAAATCCGATCGAATCAAGAGTATTTTTTCTTGTCAATGTTTTCAAGAGTCTGGACTCTAGATACAATGTGTTTTTTATTCCAGTGAGGGGTAGGTTGAAGTTAGGATGAAGTTTGCACCAGGAAAATAAGCGCTCGAGCTTACCTGGTCCGTCATATTATATCCGGAACGTATACACAAGCCGCCAAAAATCAACGCGCCAAAACGGTCTCTCCGCAATCCCGGAAAAATGTACCAGCGCGGTAGTGTATGTAGTGATCACCAAACAGGCTTCCTCGGAGGCACCGAATGAACAGATTCTTCGGAGGACTCGAAAAACGGGCCGTTTTTTCTACTGGAACCGCGAAGGATGAGTGCCGCTCGAGAGGCCGCCCGGAAACTGACCGTTTCTTCAGCGCCCCATGCTCGACTAGGAGCCGATTAACCTTTGGACTTTTTTAAACGTCGCTCCCAATAATCACTCGGGTGTTTGTTTGCCTTTGGCAATGTGTAACATCTTATCGTCCGCACACAACGGCTGCCATCCCTCTCGTGGGCATTTTGACCAACCCACTTCCACAGTTGTCTCTCATTGCGACGGAGCTGCCACATTGATATGAATACCCCATGCCGAATTTGAAGTCGTCCCCTGAATGGCTTACATCGTAGTTGAAGGAGTTTTAGTGAATTGAACTGTATTTTGCAATTAGAAACTACAATTTCTGACTCGTGCGTAAAAACACTTAAGTACGTAGGGAAACTGGTGGCACAAACGTTGTTTCTTGACTGAGCCAGAATTGTAGTTCCTAATTGCAAAATGTAGTCCCATGCTTTGAACAGCCGAGAGTCGGGCAGGTGGAATGTATTACTCGGACATTCGATATTTTTGCTTTCATGCGTTCGACTGACCCATGAATTGCATTTGGCAGAGAGAAGACACCTACGGGAGGGTTAAAATCACGTAAGTGGCCAGTGTAATTCTAAATGCGGAAATGCCCGAAAGTACTAACCCTAAATGTGCAAATAAAGCGCCCTAAGATAGTATTGCTTGCGACAAATACGGGAAGACTTTCATCGTAACGCTTGGATGCAACTATTCGAACCCTACGGATGTCCCTGTTGCATACGCCCGAAAATGAAGGCGTTTTGAGTCTCCACGCACTCACCGCTATTCACACATAGTGCGGCGCGGTCGCGGACTATACTAAGTACATGGCTCAAATTGACTGAGCTCCTTCAATTCTTCGTTTATACTACAGAGACATCTCTTAGCCATGAACACATGGGTATAATGTTAGTATATTTCGTGCTTCAGTTTTGATATCGCGATCAGTGGCGAGGCGTAAATGATCGATTATCGATATTTTTCCATTTGAAGCAATTGTGAAAAATCAATTATTAAAGTATTCGTTGCGAGCACCCTGTTTATCGATCCTTTTCCATAGGTTTACAAGGCAGATCAGTCGATACATCGCAAAGCACGCCGTGCTGCCGTGCTATGGGTCGAGCTTTGAGTGCCTTAGCAGTTAAAACGCCTTCCCTTCCGTGCGTATGCAAAACGGACATCCGTGAAGCCCGAATAGTTGCATATCTAGGCGCTACGATGGAATTCGCTCAGAACTTATCGCACGTTATACTCTCTGCAGGCACTTTACGTGTAAATCTTACACCTCAACTTAATTCCAACTTTGCCTACATGGTCCGATGAAGTAAAACATCACAGATTTATATTGTGACAATATTGTAAATATTTTTTGCGTGAAATGAGAGGTATAACAAAAAGTCCAGTCAGATTGTATCAACCCACGGATGTAGTGATTTCTGACGTTACTGATTGCTTCAGACTAATTGAATTAGAGCACCACCAGGTTCATGAAGATTGAACCGATGGCAAAGCATTTAAAGGGGCCGGCCTGAAGTTCTTGGCATAAAAAATCCTAGTTGACGAAATCATGTAGCTGTTTCCACTTGAGTTTCCTCTATAGGTATTTGCGGCTTTAGACTATATAGACGGTGAAACTACCAGACCACGTATTGAGGTGTTTGAATGTCTCCGCTCACACTTTATTTTTGGCAGGAGAACAAATCAATATCATTTCTTGAAATTTTGACGGAGTTTTCTTCGCATAGAGAGGAAAAAACAAGGAAGTTTTTAAGAATTGACGTTGAGTATATAGTTTTCCATTAAAAAAATAAAGTATGACAAGAAGTCTACAACGTGGCAAATCTAGATACGTGGTCTGGTAGTTTAACTGTCGATATGCATTTCTCACTTCTGGGGAATGCGCTTTTATATATTTGCGTTTT